ATTCCCATGGAGCGAAACGCCACCATGCGTACAGAACGTTTACGTCCTATAATTGCATCCGTGCACGGCGGGTACTATACGTTCGTGCAATTATCCCGGCTCTCTTTCGCTCGCCGGCAAGATGTATGGGACAGTTGACGCGGTCTCGAAGGCGAAATACAATCGCGCCGGCGGCCGCGACTTCGGAGCCGGCAATTACACGCGATCCGCGTAATCGTAAAACGAAAACGTTAAGCATGGAGTTGTTATTTTCCGAGTCGACGCGAAACGTAGCCGGTAACGGGGCGTAAATCAACCGGAACCTAGACGACCATACAGGGAAACTCGAGTGGACGAGCATCCTAGTAATTACCCTGTGTCCACCTCGCCAAATAATTCATTCGAACGTTGCCTATGCACCCTGTTCAACGTACTCCGAGAACACCACCCATACGGGATGATGAAGTTAAGCTCGCTGGAAACAGCGTACGGGAAGGTTGCTGGTTTCATAAGTTCTTTCTTCGCTACCAAGGCAAAAGGGGTCGCGGTCTCGAGATACCAACCGCGTTACGTCACCGGTCACAGGTGCAGTACGGGTGCGACTTGCGATCGGTTCGCCCCGAAGGAGCGTAACGCGAGCTCGGACAAGAGGAACAAGGAATGCGAATCGAAAGAAGGAGAATAAGAAAAGGAAATGAAAAAAATTGAAAAGACAAGAAGAAGTCGAGGACACGGGTCGTTCGCGAAGAAGGAGGCAAACGAGAGAGGAACGGAAGAGAAGTTTACTCCGAATGTAAAAAGGAGAGAGAGAGAGAAAGAGAGAGGGACACACACACGGTGTACCGCGCTCCGCCCCAGGTACACGAGCAACATGGCCGCTGAGGGACGGATTGGCGGAGGCCAGCCACGATACCGACGTCGTCGTGACGCCCGCGCTTCACTCAGCTCGACTCAAACTCAACGGTCTTCGCTCCCATCGGCCCCAACGGCACTCCTCCGCTTAAAACGGTCGACGCCCACCCTATACTTCTCTCCCCACAGACCAACTGTTCCTCCCTCTCCTCTTGTCCCTCTTTGCGTTTGTTTCTTCTCTCTTTCTCTCTCTCTTAACCTCTCCTTCCAACTTCTTATCATTCTCTTCGAACGCGTGTCCGTCTCTCTCTAGCAAAGGGTTCCTTAATAGAACACCCTCTCCGTGGACACCCACGCGATACGACACAAGTTGGTGCACGCACACCGTACCCGGTGGATGTAAGCTCGGATAATCGTAGGTAAGTTTGCGACAAGGTTGCAAATTACCATACAAGGACGTTGCACGAATTTTTATGGAAAATTGCAGATGTACTGAGAAATGGTAGTTAGGATTGTGAATGGTCCTTGTTATTGCGCGCTTTAATCCCCTGATAACCTCAAAGTACCCGAGTGCCTATTTGTACATTTTCTTTAATAATTTTCTATATTCTTATTTATGCTTATAAAGTAAAAAGTTTGAATATTAATGCTTCTATGGATATCCGATTAGCTACCAAAGGGGTACGCGCCCCTTCCTAGTAGAGCCATTAGAATACCATTCTGAATACACGCTCGATATTGACTATTGAATAGTAGCACAATTAGTAAGGAAACACGCCTACAGAAATATATTGTTAACGTGTCATTGCGGTAGTTACCTACTTGTTACGTAAGGAGTACTTTTATAGGGAATCAATAAATTTTCAAGATATGACACGTAAAAATGTTCATTCCCTCGATATAATGCATGCATTAAAAGAGGGGATCACAGGTGCCTATGAAACCTTAAATTGCCTATTATGCGGTTCGTCTGAAGCCAACCATGGAAATTGATGTTACCGAAATGATTGACACAGCTGAGTCAGCGATTCGTCGCGCCACTCAAGCTATCGCGATGGAAGAGGAAACTAACGAAACACTTGCATAATAATTCATTGTATCCAATAGACAAGGAGACAATAGACGTAGCTGTTAGAATGGCGTACATAGCGTTTCCTAAAGTCGTATCGAAAGTTTACTGTAATTGTGTTCACGACTGCTATGGTGGAAGCTACACGACTATGATCGTATATGTCCGCGAAACTGAAGTTATATTGCATGGCCGACTAACGGAGTCGAGAAGCTACTTGTTGATCGTTGCCTACTTTTTCATATTTATAAAATAATACAAAAATACAGTCACGTTTAATTTCAGCTTCCCTTAGTTAAAAGGAAGTTCACCATGTTGTTATATTGTGATATGATACCACTTGTAAGAGTGCGAACTTTGGCAGCACTGTCTAAAAAACCGTTAATACTATGTATAAGGAGCACGTGTGCAATAAAAACGATATCTGAAAATACGTGTCAAGATTCTTTCTAAAATCCATATACATCCACGCATATTAATACCAAATACATATTTGAAACTATCACGCTTGTTTGTTCATATTCTTTACATGCAAAAGCCAAATGCAAATGGCGGGCGGCGCTTCAAATAGTAGATTGCAAAAACTTACCCTCTCAGGTACCAGAACTTATTTGATGTACAGTGGTCCTTCCCGCTGCATCGTGGCCATTAGTAATGGTAGCACTGGTAACCTGAAGATGCACAGTGTTTTTGAGATGTAATTATAATGTATAACACACTAATTTTGCAAAAATTAAACGGAATATTTAGGCGCGCACGGAACATCGAACCAACGTTTCGAAACTACTACTGGTTGCGCGAGGGCAGCACCTGCTAGATCAGTGCCTTGCACCATCTGCAGTTGAATCACAGAACTAAAGGAGTCAGTATAATCGATAGACTTGGTTTTATCTGTTAGGAGCTGCATATAGAGGGTACAGAGATCTTATTCTAGGTATCCAAAGCTTTTAGGGGAATATCGAAAGTGTTGGTGAACCTGGTTCTCATATCTTCTTATAAATTATACTTTTTTTATTAACATCGTGAAATTTATTCTTGTACAATAAATACTTATTGTAATTTTCTATATTTTTATTACCTTGTTGAATGAAATGACTTTGAAGTAATTATGTTAGAGATAAAAAAATCTATGTGTGCATTGACGCCTTCTCGTGGGTCTTGAAGAAAGTAAAATCAGCTGACCCCGTCTACTAAGCGTCAAATGCGTATTTATAAATAACGTGGCGTTTGAGTTCGTCCTAAACTTGTGTTATTTTTCATAAACAACGCGTCAAAATGGTAGATATGAAAAGTAACGTTAGTTTTTGTTGTCAACGATGTTTACAGCCTCTAAGACTGGATCCAAGTTTCTTGGATCATCTCGGGGAACACACGTTAGCAGAACTTTCACGTAGGTAATTTCTATTTCAAAGTAATATGATTTTATGACAGGGCTTATTATTTATTTTGCCTTCTCCTCGGAGTACCGATAACGCGTTCCCTTTTTAAGTGTTATTACACGGGATACGATTGAAACATAAACGACTTTTTTGTTCTGTCATTTAATGTATTTTTTACGATATTATGCGATTTCTAATACGCTATTTACGTCGAAACGATTGATATAAATTAAGTAATTTAATCTTTTATGATAGTTCCAATTCAACAGCAAGTGGTAGGAGAAATAGAACCTCAAAGTGGAAGTATGGAACATTTGGTTCCACCATTTAGACTAACTGAGTCTGCAAATGGAACTAATGGATTTATGCTAGTTGGAGATTCTGGAGAAACAGAAAGTCTCAGTCACCATTTAAAGGTATTTATAATCTTCTATGTTGAATTATCATGAATGTTAATGTAATTTATTTATTGAAGGTACGGGCAACATTGTTTGATATTCTTAGTAGCAGTAGCTCTGCTGATCACCCTCTCTGTGATGAATGCACAGATAATCTTTTATGGTCAATGGATCAACAATTAAGAATGACAGAAGGAGAATGGTCAGACTACAATGAATACTTAAAAAAATTAGAACTAGAACAACAACAGGGAAATGAGGACATAGAAATGGAAAGTCTTACAAAAGAATTACAAGATGTGAAAGCAGAAGAAAAAAGAATGATCAGTGAATTGGAAGCTCTGAGAAAAGAAGAAATTGCTACCAGGAATGCTATATCACAACAAGAAAGAGAAAGGGAGAAGCTTCAAAGCGAAGAAGAAAGGTATTGGAAGGAATATTCAAAACATAAAAGAGATCTTATATTAGCAGAAGATGAGTATCGTAGGTAATAATGACATGTTATTGCATTTGATGCACTCTCTATAGTTCGTTTTCATTAACATTGACAATTTGTTTAGTTTGGAATGCCAATTAGCCTATGCAGCTTCACAGCTAGAGAGACTGAAGAAAACGAATGTTTTCAATGCCACATTTCATATTTGGCATTCAGGACACTTTGGAACTATAAATTCCTTTCGTTTAGGCCGTTTGCCAAGTGCGCCGGTAGATTGGAGCGAGATAAATGCCGCTTGGGGACAAACTACCTTACTGTTAACAGCTCTGGCTAGAAAAATGAATCTTACGTTCAAACGGTTTCGTTTAGTGCCGTTTGGTAATCACAGTTATATTGAAGCCTTAGACCAACATAGAGAGTTACCTCTCTATGGAAGTGGGGGATTCAAATTTCTGTGGGATACCAAATTTGATGCAGCAATGGTAGCATTCCTTGATTGCTTACAGCAATTTAAGGAACAAGTGGAAAAAGGAGATAGTGGATTCTGTCTCCCATATAGAATGGATCGGGGTAAAATAGAAGATTCTGCTACAGGCAACTCTTACTCAATCAAGTATGTTCCATTATATTGCAACTTATTTTTAGTCAAGGTTATATAAAATATCTTGTTTCTATTTCAGAATTCAATTTAACTCTGAGGAACAGTGGACCAAGGCACTCAAATTCTTATTGACCAATCTAAAATGGGGTCTTGCATGGGTTAGTTCCCAATTCACAAAAGATGAGACTGAACATTAACTTTATAGTATGCAGATTCATCCAGTCTTAATCATACGTCTTTTTCACATTCACTTATGTACATACATGTTATTTGTAAATAAAATCAGTTAAAGGATAAACCTTTTATTTAGAGTTTGAACAAATTTTAAAGGAATTTAATTTTAAATTATTAACAATATTTAGATTTATTAGCTAAGAACCAGGTTATACCGTATAGTAAACACGGGGGACTTTCTACTTCCTTAGAATTGATGTATTGTTTTACCTCTGGGATGCTTAGTTCCACCAGTTCGATCAGTTCCCCTTCAGATGCAGCACCCCCTCCTTTAATTTTATGAATTGCTCAAGTTTAAAGATAATGAACAGGATTTTTTTAAGTACTTTATTGAACATTATAAAATCACTTTTGGGTCTATTATTTAATAAGACTATATTAAAAAAGAACTATAGTTATATTTATTAGCTTACCAGGATAAGTATGCATTTCATCTGTAACTTCCACATAGAAGAGTGTATGCTTGCAGACTGAAGTGGAAACATATCTATAATCAATCCACAACAAGATAATCAGCATTTTATAAAAAGTAAACTTATTTATTTTCTCAAAATGACATACTTTACAATGGATTGAATATAAAAATGCATGCAGTTATAAAAATGATATGACACGAATAGGTACGCATGACATGACAACTTATGACAGAACGGAACATGACATTTCTTTGCGTCATGAGTTACACAAAACATTACGCTAGATAAATTAATATTTAGTTATTGACACACCTGAAAGTAATGACATATTCAAAAGAGTTCAGCGGAGCATCGTATCCACATTCTTCTTTGAGCTCGTCCTTTGCTATTTCGGCTAATGATTTATCTTTATCCACGATACCGGCGCAAAGTTCTAAGGTCAACCCTAACCTCGGTGGATACTGTTTTAGATCCACCGGTCCGTGTTTCTCCGGAAGGAATGTGTAGAAGTAGGCAGGACGAAATTGTCGGACAAACACGAGTTTCTTGCGGCTTGTATTGAACACAACTATACTGACACCGTCGTGTGCCCTTACCACGTCCCAGTCTCGTTGGTGACCATCTTGTTGGTAATGTATTCGAACAGGTCTAATCCACGGTGAGTTAGAAGGACATTCTGCTATTTGTATTTGTTGCACGTCGAGCATTCGTTCTCGAATATTTTCATTTTGTTTCTCTTGTTCCTTGACATCCATTTCTTCCAAAGATTATAGAAAATGACGTTTACACTGATTTCAACTGTTTAACTCCTGTCGGTAATCTTGTAGAAGTGCAAGCGAGAGTACCACCAGAAGATGCCGCGCCCAGCACTGTGCAGCACTGAACTAACTGCTTTTGCGCAGGCGCAGGCACGTGATCGGTACCGCGTTTTGTGTCGAGTGTGGTATCATTCTGCTATTTACAAACATTTACAAGCTAAGGTATGTGAAATTTTCCTTGAATTAGTAGATAAATGAAACTCCAACTGATAACTTCTAATCTCTTCTAGAAGTTTCTACAATCATATTCGCATGTTTCACGTATCACGTATTCAAAGTAGTAATTTAACAACCTCGAATCGCCATTTTTATTTCTTAGCTTTTCTTTCCTTCTTTGCCGAGTCTTTCTTTTTATCTTTTGCCGATTTAGAATCCATTTCTTGCTGTTTCTTATCTCCTTTCTTACCAGAGTCAGTTCTAGGCGTATCTGTAACATTCTGTTTTCTTTTATCCTTCTTTTTAGTAAGTTGCGCTTTAATCGCATCCAGAATTTCTTGCTGACGAACCTGCGTATCGACATGAACGACATCTGGCTTTTTGCGGTACCTACTGACAGCGGCAGGAGGCGAAAATTCAATTTCCATGTCAGACGCTGTTGAACTAGACGCAACCGAAGCATCGTCTTTGTTCTTGACAATTTTGAATTGAAGCGGTTTCATGGGTTCGGTTAGACGTGCCTCACCGGGTGATTCTTGTCTGATGGGATACATTGTCACGTAGTAAGTACCATCTTTCCTATGAATGTGTAAAGTTGGCGGAGATTCCATATCCTCTTCCTCGTCCTCCATGTTCATTTGCTCCATCGTTTGGAAACCTCTGGTTTTATCATCTCGTCTTCTGGGCGAGCCCTTTCCCCCCCTTGATGGTGCTGATCTGGTACGATCAGTCGCATCTCGCGTTCTTCCTCGATCAGTTCTACTTCTATCGCGTTCCGGTTTTCCGCGTATCATTCTCGTTCTACCGCGATCTGCTCCTCCTCTTCCACGATCAGCGCCCCCTTTTCCACGATCGGTTTTTCCCCTGGTTCTTGTTAAGCTCGTAATGGAATCGTCAGAAGCTAATGTATTCTCTTTTGCTTCTTGCAGCATTTCGTATAGATAACGACCAATGGCTCCAGGTTTCCAACCGATACGTGGCTTCAATTTTCCTGCCGTGGCCATGCTGTTCCATAACCAACCCATGTTTGCTGGCACCCTCATAGGTACGTCGATACAGTTCTTATGACCGTACACTATTCCGGGGTAGTAATCGCCGACGAAGTAAACGTATCGCATTACTCGTCTGCTGACGGTGATTTCGGGGTGCGAAATAGGGTTGAGATCACCACCGGGTCCTGGAGAAATTTCTTTGGGGCGGTTGTACATACCCTTTTCGACTTCTCTGTAGTCAGTCTTCCCACGAGGAATGTTTCCAATTTTCTGGTGTTTGCCGGATGGACTGGTTTGTGGACTGCCAGATGGACTTCCAGATGGACTCCCAGATTGATCTCCACGACGACCTTTCTTTCCTTTTCCTTTAGCCGCCTTTCCCTTGCGACGCGACTTGGGTTTCTTCTTCGCACCGGCTCGAGCTTTCGTGGAGATGGAAATAGCACTTTGGCTTACGCTCGCTGTATCCCCAGGCTTCTTCCTCCTAGATTTGCACCTAGGTTCACCGCAAGGTCCCACTTCCACGTCTATCGGCGCAGGTAATTTAGGATCGAGCTCCTTGTGCTTGTCTCCCTTTTCATCCCTCTTCTCGTGCGCCTTTCTCTGTTTTACGCTTCCGGCCGTTGAACCGGCCTCAGGTAAAACAGGTATCGCTTCCCGTACAATTCCCAAGCGTGGAGGTATCTGTAACCCTACGGTAGTGGCAGGTGTATAGGGCGCAGGCATTCGAGTACGAATATCATCGGGTGGTTTGGTTACTGGCAAACTGCAGGGACCAGTGCATCTTGGAGTTGAAGCTTCTGCTTTTTGCGGAGTCCCAGATTGCGCCTTCTTTTTCTGAGGTTCCTGCGACTGTTCTTGAGTAACATAGTCCTTGTCAATGTCCCGGCCAAAGTAAGGGCTCTCCGATGGATCCATTAGACCAAGTCCAGGCAGACCTGGCACCTTTCCAATCGAATTGACGAATTCCTGAGCATCCTCGAAAGCTCGTATCAAACAATCTATCCCCATACACGGTTTCTTCATGCATCGAGCAGCACCCCTAGGCCAAGTTGGTGTTTCCTTTCCTGGGCAAATGCAAGTGGGCTTCGGTCCAGTCGGTGTTATACGAGGCTTGCAAGCATCAAAAGTGGTTACCATGTCTCTGCCCTTGGACGACGATGATCTAAGCGGAACTGGCACCGTGCCACCGGAACAAGTGCAGCTGGACATGTTGATTTCTCCTCCCCCTTCCAGTCGGGGTTCAGTATTATATTTCTCATCGTACCAGGTGTAATCTGTTTCATTGTCGGTCCATTTCATGCTAGTAGGACCTATGTACAGCTGTTCAAGGTCGCCACCACCTCTCAATCTAGTCGGGTTATCACATGTTCTATCTTCTTCCGGTATAGGCAAGTGATCTCTGACACAATAAGTTTTAGCCAATGTGTTATTAACACGTTTGCCTTTTTGCGTGGTCAGTATATTGGGATTCCTTAGCCTCATACAGCAAGGACGAGTGCAACCTGAACGACATTTCATAGGATGCGTCGACCGATTCGGTGGTAGACAGGAGCAAGTTGGTTCGTTTGGATACGCTCTGTAAATTGACTCTCTATACTCAGGATCGTTTAATTTTTCCGCTGAGGTCAAAGTTTTAAAGACAGGATCTTTCATTGTGACTCGTGGCGGAGATTCTGGTCTCTTCAGCAAAGGTTTATCATCTTCATTCTTCGGATCTTTCTCGTTGTTTTTATCTTCAGGTGAAAGATAAGGACACAGAAATTTCTGCAGCGGCGAATCCTCCAGGACAAAAGACTTTTCGTTTAACGAGAACTGTTTAACGATAGAGCTACCGAAACAGGACAATCGGAGAACCACAGATACGCTACCAAACACTTTGCTACCAGGATCAATTAGGTCAAACGTATCTTTCTGTTCGCACGGTGTGGACGACGCTTTGTTTTCTTTTGGAACTTTCGCCACGTAATTGCACATACAGGCAGGCAAGGATATCTTCACTGTACCTAGAAGAACACGATCTTCCTTCGTGGAAGAGGTCCCTTTGTGATACACTTCCAAGCACAAAGGTGACCATCTCATAGCTCTGATAAGGCAGCTGGGTGTTTTACTAAACAAACACGTTTTCCCATACCCAAAATCATCGGAATTACCATCTTCAGCGACTTTCTTAGGCTCGATCTCCTTGATAGGAACACTTATCTCGCATTCTGGTAGATCACTGAATCTCACGCAAATGATCAAATCCTCGATATTAATGTCCGATGTTTGTTCAGGATTCAAAGTTATCTTATCGATCATTACCTCGAGCATATAAAGTTGTTCTCCTTGCGACTTCGTGCTTCGTTTCTTCAAAGCCATTTTCAGTCCTGTTTGATGTTCTCTGCACGGGAATTTAGATAAAAGTAGGGAACTCGCGAGGGCTTTTAAAAAGACACCTCACTCGAAACGTGCCATTAATTTAGTGGTTGTTTTATGGCCATGGAGTGTGATTTAACCGCACCAACGCTTCGAACCTGTCAATTTCCTGTCTGATATATCGCATATAGTTACCATGGCAACCATAAATGCTGTACAGGGTGATCAACTTGCACAGTCGAGGAAAACTATCTCTTGCCTTTCTTTTTACCCTTTCCGCCCTTTCCGCCTTTTCCTTTTTCTTTTTTCCCCTTTTTCCCCTTTTTCCCCTTTTTCTGTGGTCCTTTCGTTATTCCTTTCAATTCGTCCAATGTCGTCCTATCAGGATACTGCGAGACGTCCTTACTAGGGGGCACCAGACGTCTGACTACGAACTCTCGTTCTTTACCGTCGTTCCTGAAGGCGAAGAATTTCGGGTGCAACTCGTAATGGGTCATGATCGATCGACCAACGCAGGTCATTCTTAATTCCATTTCTATTGTACCGGATGGATTGTCACCGGGATCTATCAGGTTGTAACTACCCTTCACCATGAAGGGTTTCGGTAGATTCGCCGCGTCGTTCTGCGCCATGGCCACTTGATCGCATAGACACCCTGGCAGGGTCATTTCCGTTTCGGCGGTGGGGAACGTGTCTCCAACTCGAAACACACCGACCATCAACTTAGTAGATTGTAATTCTCTGACCAGGTCCTTGGGTTGTTTGACGAATACGCAACTTCTGCCTATCATGAAATGCAGGGTGCCATCTTCCTCCGGGGGTGTAGGTTTCAGCGAGTAAAAGTCGTCGCGAGTTATCTCGAATACGGGAAAGTCGAGGAACTTGATCTTCACACCGACGGGATGCTCACCTATGTCTTTTATCTTGTTCTTTGTCAGGGTCAGTTTGTGGATCAGCATCTCGACTACGTAAATCTGTTCGTCGCGTCCACCGAAGCAGGTCATCTTAGAAGAGGATGGTTCGAGAGGACAGTTTCAGTACGGGGTGCAGGAATGGGTGCGCGGTGTTCCGGATCCGGGGGTAAGTGATTTAATACGATGAATTTTTTTTTGAGGTTTTGATTTTGAAATCGAAAGTGACAGATCACACGTGACAATCGCATGGAAAATATTCTATTGTTACAATGTAATATAAATAATTGTACCGTGGGTTGGTTAATAGCGTCTTTCTGCTAGATGGCTATAGTAATCAAGTCTGTGGGATGAATTTCTTATTTGATTTTCGATTTTGACGCTTTAACTGACCCATGGTTACCACAGAATATTCTACGATCTGCAATAATGCATGAAAGTTGCTTATTTAAAAAAAAATTCAATTTTGCATTTGCTTCATTTCTGCGCTCACTGGTAGATGTCGCTACCAATGCCACTTTTAAAACGCGCAAACATACAGATTCATTTGAAAGATATAAAGATGAGGCTGGCACAGTATTTATATATTATGAAATTAATTATTTTACAATAATATGATTCGTTGCAAATATTGCACAAGAATTAAGTGCACACAGTACTGTACTTATTGGGGGGTGCAAATACCTATAACATTAGTGAAATTCAAAAATTCTAAGATAACTTTCTCAATTTCATTTTATTTCCCTAAATGGGACGGAAACATTTTCCACCCGTTCTAACGAAAAACCGATATGCAAAAGCTCGTCGATAAACCCGCGTTGCATCAATAGACCTCTCTTTACCAGCACCCAGAGTGAAACATCCTTAATCCTGCGGTGCAAAACAGTATTCCAGAACCGTTACGAAAATCTTAAGGAAAGGCCCCTGGCAAATCCGTCCCTTTTCCTGTTATTCATCGCGATAATCCCGCTACACCGACATACTGTTCATCCGAAATACGATAATCCCAGTACCATTCACCATTCCTCTTCCTCTTACGATGACTAATCGCTGGCAGAACGAGCTGTGCTCGCGGAACGAGCCACCATGATTCTATTGAAGCGGATGTCCGCGATTTAACGAATCTCTCTGCAAGCTTCCTCCGTCGCGTTGCAAACGATACGCGAATCCGTGCCCTTCGAACGATCCGTCCCATTCCGTGGACGCGGTTTCTGTTCGATTCTGGCCACCGAAAGCAACGTTCGGCCAGCCGAACACCGAGGGGCCGAAGTATGCGCTAATTGGTACGGGTGCGGGCGCACAGACACGCGTGCACACGTACACGAAGAGGAGGATAGGAAACGTGTACGAGGATAGAAAGAGGATGGCTCGTAGAAGAAGAGAAAAGAGATATCGTGGACGTAGTGGCGTCTGCGGCTTCGAAAGGACGCTGGAAGCCGGACCGGGCTGAAGTAAAATTCCGGGCCGGGCGACACGGCGGCTCGTTAAAATGCTTCTGGGGGTTTCGGGCGCGGGACGCTCCAGGTAATTGGCGATTAGCGATTAAAACGAACGGTTCTCTCTTTCCCTCTTAAACGAGAGACTTTCGTCCCTCTTTTCTTCGATGTCCTTGGCCGCGTGGACAAAGTAACGTTCGTATAAAGCGCCTTTTATCGAGTCGCCCTAGTCCGTAGATTGGCCGATTTTATCTTCTACCTGGACACGATGACACCCGGCCCGGTCCGGCTCGTTTTTGAAGCCTCCTCGAGGGGAACGGAGCTGATCGTGCGACTCGAAACGGTTGACGATCGCTTTCCGGACCGAGATTGGGAGACGTTTCTTGCCGGATCCCCTGGGAATCTGAATGCGGTCCGGGAACCGTGCGGCATCTGGACGGGGCCGGAAATACATACCGAACTCAGCGTCCTTGTTAACCGGAGAACTCATGATTCTTAATCACTTTTTCTGAGAGATGGCGAAATATTTGATATTCGACGATAATAATGTTCTTTGCATCGATTTCTAGTACCGTTTTTATTTGCTGATCGAAATCGATGTTTCTATACCGTTCCAAAGTGAATAGAGAAATTACAGGATCGTTGTCCTTGTTAGAGAGTAACTCCCGTTAAATCGTGGAAACCGGGGACCTGCCATTTACCTGAGATTCTCGGAGGAAGTCTTTTGTTCGCAGCTGGGTATCGGCTCGGTATCGGAATTATATGGCGAAAACAACGAGCGCCCCGAGTGAAATTAAATGCCGCAGCAACCGCTTAAGGTACGAGCATTGTGATTTGCGATTTTTACCACGGTAGCGGTCTCGAACTCGACTAGGTTAATTTGCCTTCTCGCCAATAACCGTTATTTCGGTATTGACTCGAAAGTGGTTACCCTTGTCCCGATCACCGCTATCGGGATTAGTCATCCGGCTAATCCGTGATGAGCGTGTACACGCAAACTAGTCAGCGATATTCTTCGGATAGGTACATATTGTTTTTTAACTCCGATATCGTTGAAATACCTGCTTGAATGATCAGCTTACGGTATTTCCATGAGATTCCATGAAACATGTGAACAAATACAAGGACCATATTTTAATCATTGTAATTATAGCGTGTTCTACTACACAGAGTTGTTTCGCATGCACCATTCAACGTGTTAAGGGTTAATTCTCAATTTCCCCCAACATTTAGCCGACACGTAACACGGTAGTTTGATTACACGCGAAACGATCTCACGACATTATTTCCAACACCTCGTTGTTTCCAGTAGTTCTACCTCGCGCACCGCGTTGCGCTTCTACGTACTTGTTACAGCCGCTCGCCGCGGAATACTGTACCGAGCGGCGAGTTCATCGGCAATTTGAATAATTCCCTCTCGAAAGGAACGGTTTCTCATCTCGAATTCGCCTAACGTCCGATGTTTTTGTTGCACCGGCTACCTCGCTTGGCTATTTACCTCGGAATGCGAGTGCTTCTGCTCCGTGCCACTTTGTAAATGTTCCATTCCCACGGGGAAAAGTCCGCGAGACTAATCCCGGTTCCGCGTTTCGTCCGATTTTCGTTTTCCAGGTAAAACGGTCCATTCGTGTTCTCCATTAACGCATCGATCGTCGGGGTAACGGATAATTTTTTAATCAATGGTTTTGCACGGAGGAACATGAAGCGACCTCCAATTTCGATGGAATCAAAGATAAACACAACTCTCTCTCTTTCTCTCTTGAAATGCTGTTCATGAACGACAGTGACCGTCTGCTCTCATCGTTTGCGATTCGTTCGAGCGGGTTTCACGCGACCGGGGCCCGCCGTCTCGGATTTTCGATGATCTAGATCTCCGGGTAGCACCAGGAAGTCGGGATCGAAGGGAAAATTACCGGTGCCGATGGAAGGAGGTCTGGTTCGCTCGGCTCGAGAGGTCAGAGGGCGATAGCGGTACCTTCTTCAGGCTTGATCCTCTTCGTTCTACCACACTATCGCGATAGTCTGCTCTACACGCTCCGCTACGAACCTTCCACGAACGTGCTCGCGCGTTGCTGCACGTGCACATGCACATGCACATGCACATGCACGCACCGGCTTGTTCATAGAGCGAGGGAAAAGTGGTCGCGTAACGAATACGAGAAAGGATGGCCAACGGCGTCAGAGGACCGACTGCCGTGCTCCGTGAACGAGCACAGCCCAGAGGAATAGGGCGAGAGGGAGACGGCGATGATGGAACAAGGAAGAACCAGGCTGGTAGAGGATATTAGAAGGCACTCTCCCGCGGCGCTAGACGAAATTTGTCAAACAACCTGGCGGGCCCCAATTTGTTCAACCGCGTGTCCGTGCCACGATGAAAGAGCCGTAGGTGGTTTCCAGACCCCTTTCCTTCAACGATGAGTGGATGGCTGGTATCGTTGCTACCAGCCTCCTTATTAGGTTATTAAAACCTCCACGATTAATGTTTCACCCATCTGTTCGTTCACGGTGACACGTTCGCGGTTCAGACGTTGTCACCCTTATGTTATCTCGTATAGAATCGAAGGATGAATTTAGTAATTGGAAATCGTTGAATTAATCAGCGGAATCGAAGAAAAAGCATCGCGATGCAGGGCGTTAACGTAATGTTATTTCAATTTGCACGGTCGCGGGTAATCGCGTTCCCAGGACTAATTTAGCAGCGGCGTATCGGCCGGGACACGGTCCGCGATCGCGAGCGGATAGCATTGCAGATGATTATCGGACGACGCGATTTCTTGCTCGCCGGAAGCCGTAAGTATGCGTGTAGTCGGCTTAGTCCGCGCGTCAGATGGCTGCCACAAATTAGCCACCTATTATTTACCGCTTGACACTGTTAAGTATCGTACAGGTTGGCGCCCGTTACCATTGCGTGTACGCCATTGTATGGTAATACTCGACGAAATATGGAGAAAAAAAAAGTAAAAGGAAAAAAGAAGGTTACGCAATTCATGTTGCCGGGTTGATGTTCATTCAACGTCATAGAGGGAGCAGGGTTGACACGTGGGATATACGAAGGAGATAACGCTTCCAGATTCTCTCATTCGGTTGTGCCACAAATTAACAGAATTAATGAGCAACACCGTGACTGGTGACGACAACGTGCGCGAAGGACGAGAGGGTAATTGCGTTAAAGCTTGACGTTTATTTCACGACGGTCCTTCGTGCACGGTTAACCCGGACCTGACGATCGTTTCTCGTCCGTACACGTTGAAAGAGTTTTCGTCTCAAGGTGATTGCGTTAGGACACGATTTCGAAAACGTTGTTATATTTTTACCGATTTTTCAAACGCCAACTTTCCATGTCGTCTTTAAATAATTCTTCTTCAAAATGTTTGTGAAGCTTCAAAGAGCCTGACAAAACGTGAGACCGTAAGATTCTTCCGGTAGAAATGGTATCGTTACAGGAGCAAAGAAACTCGAATAGAAAATATTTGAATTTCTTTCGACGAGTTAGCATCGATCCGATACCACAGAACACTTTTTACCATTACGATCCAATTGATTCCTGGAAGATAACCGTTATGATCTGCACTCGTCGTTGCTTCATGCTTCTTCTCGAACTCGGACTCGACGTTTCTTTTCGTACCTTCGAAAGCGAGCGAGGAGGAATCGTTTCCTTCGACAGGGTACGATATTCGAGTAGCTTCCGATAAAATTAATCTCTTCGACTTCTTTTTTCGCCGGTTGAAAACCCAGGTCGACGATTTACGTCGCTCGTAGAGTCGTTCGAGCACTGTTCGCTTTCGAAAATTATGCGGCTACAGGAACATTCAGGGAAGGGTTTCGCGTGTATGCACGTGCAGTTCGCGTTTAAATCGTGTAAGCTATCGGAAAAGATCGTTACCGGGAAGCATAAGAGGCAGCCACGTCGGCACGAGACACGCGGGATGAATCGTCGAGAACCGGGTTAGCAACGACCGTTCTAGCTGGTGAAGTGCAACTCGGTATCCGGAGACGAGGCAGTTTGCCGAAGAAAACGGCCGAGCACCCACTTCTAGAACCTCTAAAACACTTTAAAGGGGGAATGAAACTAGTCGTAAGGGATATAGACTATCGTTGCAACGCAACCACAATGCTGCGAGTCTTGGAAATGGCGTA